TGTGTGTGTGTGTGTGTGTGTGTGTGTGTGTGTGTGTGTGTGTGTGTAAGCCTGATATAGTTCATTAGTTGTCTTTTAAATGGGCAAGTAAATGCATAACTTCATTTACAAATATAATACTTAATGCCTTCATGTAAGCATAAAGCAGGTTAGATTCTTATACCTAAATACTGGGCTAATTTCACTGTTTGAGTAAGTGGGTGCAACTCTATTGATTGCAGTGAAATTGTGCCACATGAATTTGTGCCAATGTTTATATTGCAGTTAGAAAAGCTATCTAACTTTTTGTACCTGACTGAATCTGATTTGAAACTGTACCTCATTCATTGTGTGTAACTTCTTTTTCTCCTTCCCAAACAGTGTTTATTGCATTTGCTGTGGTTATAACTGTGGTCTCCCTGGTGCTGATCTTTGTTGTGGCTCCAAGGAAAGGTCAGACGAATATACTGGTCTACATATCAATTTGTTCAGTGATTGGTGCCTTCTCTGTCTCATCTGTCAAGGGCCTCAGCATTGCCATTAAAGAAATACTGGAGCAGAAGCCAGTTTACCAACATCCACTGGTTTATATTTTGGTGGGGACTTTAGTGCTGTCAGTCAGCACCCAGATCAACTATCTTAACAAAGCATTGGACATGTTTAATACATCTCTCGTGACACCTATTTATTATGTGTGTTTCACTACTACAGTTGTTACATGTTCCATCATCCTGTTTAAAGAATGGAATAGCATGGACCTGGGTGATATCATTGGCAGCCTCAGTGGATTCTTCACCATAATCATAGGCATTTTTCTTTTGCATGCTTTTAAAAGTACTAATATCACCCTAAAGCAATTGACATCCACGGCTATAAAAGAACCCTCATTGCCTCTGCATGGATATGATGCTCATCATTCTTTATTGGAGAACATGGAGAGCCCAACCTTGGCATATGAGGAGGACAATCCTTTGTTCAGACGAGGAAATGCACAGGGAGCTATTTGCCATTAAAATTTTGAAATGCAAACTAGATCCACCTACATCAATCAAAACTGGCTTTGCTTTTTTCCTGGGAGGAAAAAAACATTTATGAAGTGAGATAAATGTTGGTAACAACACTGTGTGCTTGGAGAAATAGATAAGTCACTGTGATGTTAGTTATTGATTACATACAACAGTTTTCCATTCAACGCCACGAATAGAAACCTGGCATTAAGACTGTTTTTCATTGCCCATATTTCTGACGGTATATGAGTTTCCTCAGTCTCCTTATTGTGGTTTTGTCAATTGAAAGACTTCCTTTTTCGGCTGAAGAATTGCAATATGTGCAATATATATTGATAAAGTGCAATTTTCCTTCATGATATGGGGTAGTAAACAATTTATTAAGTGACAGGCACTTTATAAGTATTTTAATAAAGGCATTACTAGAAGAATATGATGACCATTTCAAAGATTGAAATGCTTAATATATTGTCAAGGTTAATGCATATATAACATTCAACTTTGAAGGCTATCAATTAGCAGATGTCCTGAAGAAAACACAGCCTTCTCCCATTAACAATTCTATACTAAAACGTAATTTGTTTAAATGAGAACTTCATTTGTCAGTATTGAGCCCAGTACAGATATTTTGAAACTTATAAAAAGCATACTTTTGTAGCAGTTTTCTGATATCTTGTCTCCAAGATTTTTCTTTTTTCCTTTGTTAGTTCCTGTTTCTTGATGTTAAAGTCCAGTTCTTCTGAGTCTGGATGTTTTTCTATATAAAAGCTATTCATGGAGTTTTAAACTATTTCTAATGCACTATAGTGCTGACTGTGTATTAGGCAAAGGGAATACTATAATTTACCTTTACTGTATTGAGTGATCAAGAAGGATCAAATCATTGCATTAAGTGATTTGTCTAGCCCTTATTTTCTACAGCTACTTAGTATTTGCCTCACAAATGTGTTAACTTCTTTAAAACTGTGTCTTGATGGCCTATTGCCTATGTTGTGAGAACCTCTAGGTCACAGTGTTGACCATGAAACCTATAAAAGATAGCTAATCTATGCACAGATGCTATTTTATTGCACAATTTCTATTTAACTTATTTGACACCTCTTTTCCTGCCATATTTTGAGCCAGAAAGTGACTTCAGCTGTCAAATATGTAGGTCCAATAGACTAATATGGTCAGTTCTATAGCTTCTCCTCAGCACAGCATCACCACACAGCATGGCTCCCTTACTGAATTCCGAGCCTCTTCAGCAGGAGGTGATTTTAGGACTTAATCAATTCATGTTCCTGGCTCAAAAGGGATGTGCCAAACATGACTGTGTGTAACAAGGAAACACAAACAAATCTTTTGCAATTTAGGGAATGAAATGTTGCTCTTTCTACTTTTATATAGTAAGCCAGTGCTGTGAAGTGCACTTAAGTTTAGATGCATAAAAAAGTTGCTTTACTAACTGTGAAGAGTTCCTGACAAGAGGAAAATGGACTGCAATGTTTCACAAGTATTTGTATATCTGCATAACTTAAGGTTGTGTATTTTATTTATTTTTGGGAGGTATTCTTAATGTGTCTTATTTGCTAATGATGATCATTTCCCCTTATTATAACAATGTTTTGGAAACCACCAAAAACCAGACTAATAATGGTGTTCAGAACACTAGTTTAAAACCATTTTAATCCCAAGTTTTAAACTAAATATACCTTTTAGCTTGGTTATGAGGGTAGCTGGCACACATTGACACAAACTCTATCAGTTATAGCAATCATTTGCAGATTGCCTTTAAACCATCCACCTGTGAAATACTAGTTTGACTGAAGTGGTTTGTCTAGCTGTACTCCTCAGTAAGGTAAATACAGTATTACAGGAAATGTTGCTATCATAAGATCCTTTCTTGATTAAGAGTTCAAGAGCATAGCCTGTTATGACTTCTTTTGAGAAGCATATGGAATAATGCTGGAATAGTTGCAGCAATGTTGCATGCAACAGGAAGAGACTTACAAAAATTCTTCTCACTTTTTAAATACGAGTGTTCATATAGCTTTAGATGTTCTTCAGACATTTCCAATAATGAGCTCTACAGGGATTGTACAGCTATACAGAGACTATTTGGGGTTTTATTAGTCAGGTGTGTAAGATCAAATTGTTCAGCACAAAAAGTGGGTAATATATGTTACTGTAAATGTACACCATTAACTTTAGAGAGTTTGGCCTTTTAATAAAAACTTGATTGCTTCTCAGTGGAAATTAATTATGCTGGTTACAGTGTAACATTTAGGACAAAGTTGTATTTTTTTTTAAGGAAGTCTATTGGCATGTGGCTTGCCTATGTTTTCATGTATAACTGTCATAGTTGTAGGCACAAATGGTTATTTTCATGAACAAATGCCCAGTTAGATATGTCTGTATATGTATTACTATTTTTTAAATGAACTCATACTTGTACATTTTTGCATATGCACATGGGCTACCTATTTTTAAACCTGGCTCTGACAAAATCTGCTTGGTTGTAATAAGTATGAAAGAAGTCGTTCCTGATGAGCCTCTTAGTTTGTATTCATACAAAGTTAACTTCCATAAAGAAAAATGGACGTAAAACTTTTTTTTCCTAAAGTATCAAAACCCCATAGTTAATGCTTATTTTCATTATGTCCAAGAACACTCTAGAATGTCAATAAAGGAAATAATTCTTTTTATTCTGAGATTTGATTCTTAAAATATTTTTGAATGAATTACTTAACTATAAGAGATTTTATATTTTTGTTGGAAATGTTTATATTTAGTGATTGCTTCCCTTGAAGGGTTTTTAAGTTTTAATTTGAGTATAAAGATATTCCACTGTTTTGTCTTGTAATAAAAAGTATATATTAATTATGTGCTAGATAATGTTTTCTTTAAGAGAAAATGCAGTAAAAATGTTTTGCAGCAAGGCACGTGTATAGTTTGGTAGGTTTTTTTGTTTTGTTTTGTTAAAGGAACTTTCTTTCATCTTGTTTCTCTTAGACAAGACAGCCAAAGTAAGATTATATTTTATATTTATTTATTTATTTATTTGGGAACCATTTATGTGGTAAGGGAGGTTGGTGTATAGGTGTAGGGATGAGGACAGTTCCAAGTTTTAAGGGAGCAGCATGGTATAAGGGGTGGAGAGAAAACGCCAAAGAAGGTATTGAAACTGCTTTCAGCACCAGATTAGACTGAGAGAGTTAGAAAATGAGACCAGGTCTGAGAAATGCTGTGGATGAGATAGGGGTTTACTGTGGACTTTGCACAGCAGAAGACCAACGGTTGAAAGAGATTGAATGATACAGAAGATGATGGACCAAAACAGGACAGAAACAGGACCAGATCACATCCCCAGACATCCACACATAGAGGGTTACCTCCTGTGTGTGGAGGTGGGGTCTCAGTTGCTTCCTTAGCACCGTATTCAGACTGTACATACACTCCATTCTGTGACGTCCTCTCTTCTTGGTCTGCAGTAGAAATAAAATAGAAATTCATGAGGTGGTAGCAATTACCATCCATTCTTTAACTCTGCAACTTGCTTGCTGCAATGGCATTAAGGGAATGGAATCTCTGCTCTTGGTACTACAAGATAGGCAAATAATACTACAAAAAGGACTGTATTCACAGAAGATGGCCTCAAATATTTCTTCTTTTAGTAACTTGATTTATTGGTGATGGTGAAGAAGGCCAAATATGCTCTGCAAGGAAAGCAAGCTAGCTATTAGACAAACTGATACTTATATTTAGCAAGCTAATGCTATAAAATTCTATAATGCTATGGGGATAATTTGGGGGTGGGGAGGTGGCATGAGTGGGAAAGAGAAAAACAAAGCATGTCTAAACAGCATGTTGGCTAATGACTTGAGGAGGGTATGCTGGAGGTACAATGCCTTTAACTAAGCAGCAAATCTCAGATGATCCCTGTGGTCAAGGTAATTTTGTTGAAGTTATTTTATCATTTGCATAGAAAACATCTGAAAAGGTAGCTGAGCAAAACACTAGAAATGCACCAAGGGGAACAACCCAACATTAGCAGGATATGGACTAGTGCAGTGGTTCTCAAACTTTTGTGCTGATGACCCCTTTCACATAGCACGCCTCTGAGTGTGACCCCCCCCCCTTATAAATTAAAAACACATTTTTATACAGCCGCCCCCCCAACTTACGCAATTGTTCCGTTCCTGAAAGCCTTGCGTAACTCAAATTTTGCATAAGTTGGAAATGTATACCTGTACATTACGCAAAAATTTCTGCAATTTGAAAATCCTATTTCTGACTTATGGAACTTTTTCCGTAAGTGTGAATTTGCTCAAGTCAGGTCTTGTGTAACCCGGGGAGCCTCTGTATATTTAACACCATTATAAACGCTGAAGGAAAAACGGGGTTTGGGCTGGAGGCTGACAGCTCACGACCCGCCATGTAATAACCTTGTGACCCCCTGAGGGGTCCTGACCCCCAGTTTGAGAACCCCTGGACTAATGAGATGATCTAATAGGTCTTTCCCACCTCTGGCTTCTGTGATTCTTCTTTCCTGAGTTTTAAGTTGTTTTTCCTCAAATACCTAATACAATAAACATGAGAATGCTATTTATAAAGTAACATGAAGTGTTTTTGAGGGGTGGGATTAAAGAGTTTAAAAGGTGATATATTGGTTTGTGTCAGAATTTGAAAGGAGCCAGATATCACCTAGCTGTAAGCTAATCTGTATACAAGGTATTCATAGTGCAATACAGTGCCAGGGTGCCAAATGCCAATTAACTAGTAAATTATCTATCCAGCTAGTGAATGATAGTGCAGACTTTGTTATTATTGACATAAAACTTGTTAGCTAAATATAACATATTTCATGATAAACATATCGGGTAAAATTTTCAAAAACACCTAACTGGCACAGGGGCCTAAGTTTGGCTCCTAGGTCAGTTAGGCACTTTCGAAAATTTTATACATTATGGTTTAGTGCATTGCATTGGGATTCACAGTAACTAATGTTTAAAGGATCTAAAGCT